ACTACAGGACTTTGGCAAATAAAATGTGTTTGCTACTCTATAAAAGATTTACTCGCATTGCATGTTTATTTATGAGACTAGAGGAGAAGAACAAAAGCTGAATGTTTTATTAGCACAGTCCCTCCGGCCTACTTTGTGTTCATTTTAGAAACAAGTGAAAGGGAAGCTAAACAGAAAGTTGCTTGTAAGCAGACTAACTGTGGTAGTGACCATGCTAAGAACAGTTTATTAGGAACAGCTGATTTGTCCCCCACAGTGAAATTCAAATGAAAGAAATCTCTCAAGGAAAAGGGTAATTTAAAAGTGATTATCTGGAGGGGTAGGCTGGCTTATTATGAGTTTCCACTGCGAAGGATATTAGTTAAAGGTTTGTATTGTATAAATGTCAAGCTGGTGGGTTAAAAAGACAGTCAGTCTCAAATTTGCATGCTTCATCATGTCAAACTCAAAATGAACTGAGAACTGCTTTGTTGTAATTAATGGTTGATTGTGTGATCCAATCACAAGTGGAAATGCAGATCTTTCCTCGTCTGTACAGTGAGTGTGTGCTCTTGAGTGTGTGTGGCCTTTCACTTCTCTTTGCTGTCACGTCACCTTTAGTGGTGCAGAGGACTGTGGTGGAATCTGCTGAACTTTTCCCAAGACCCGGTTAAAACTTGTATTGATTTCACCCACGCAAATCCTGATAAAAATTCCACTGACACAAAGAGGTTGCAAAGCTCAGGTTTGTGTGTGTCTGATTGTGTATGTGATAGTTTTGCTGCTGCAGTTTTATCTCTGGTCTGAGATCAGTAAGAAGCATTGGCAGGAATAGGAAATGATTCTACTTTCAAGTACACATGGGAAGCTCCTACTTCCGAATTGAACAGTCAGGTGTGTTTGGTGTTTCTTCAACTATACAGGCATTTTGGAACCTGTACACTACAAAATAAAACACACTTGTAACACTTTCACTTTCACGTTTTAACTGCCCACTAAAATGTCCAACAGTCTATGCAAATACAGAAATATGACAGAAATTCTTCTGTCATGCATGTC